TGGAGCATACAGAGCCGTCTAATGAAGTGCTATATATTTAAGGCCTCTGTGCAGTGAGAAATATGGAAATATGTGTCAGCGTGCAAATATTACATTCTAGCATGAGCTGTATTCTGATGTGTTGTATTCCGTCTCATGTTTACAAACTGCAGCGGCTGGAGGAGAGCCGCTTTTCATTTGAGTGCAGGCCTTTTGTGTGATAGTGAATAGATGTGTTGCAATCAGAGGCCACACACACACACACACACTGAAGGAGGCAGAGATGGAGAGTGAGTCTGTGTTTCCACACAGCTGGAGCTATAGTGTCTGTAATTATCTTTAATCAATCAGAAGGCCTTTAGTGTCTCCGTTGTACAGTGATAGGGGTACTCAAGCATTATGTTCTATAATCAATACAGGCTGCTTTTCCAGTCACAGACTGAGCCTCGTCCTGGAGTAAATGGCATCTAATGTGTGTCCAGAAAACCCAAGTAAAGTCAGCTTTACCCTGTACAATTTTTCGGCCTAATTTTTGCTGTTGCAGACAAAAATGTGCAAATTGTAAAAGAATTTATGAGATCAGCGGTCTTAGAACACATAATTTAGCGCCATTACAAACAAAGACAGCTGACAGCAATGTTCTGGCAGTGTCAGAAATTTATAATTGCAATCTCAGAGTGATCACTGCTACAGTACTCGTCTAAAAGCCACTGAAAGGAAGGTGGCAAAGGATTACACAAAACTCACGAGATACAGTAGCTACAAATACGGTAGTGGCAATAGCAAAACATAAATGGAAAATGGAAAAATATCCTTATTACCTCAAGCTCAAAAATGTTTATGCGACCTTTTTTCCTGCACAAGCCTGTAATTTTATGTAGTAATTTACATAGTAATTTTAGTAGGATCTTATAATCACATCTTATAAAAACACATCATATAATGTGACATGGGGGATATTGTGGCTTAGTGGTTAGCACCGTTGCCCCGCACCTCAAGGGTTGGGGATTTGAATCCTGCCTCCGCCCTGTGTGCGTGGAGTTTGCATGTTCTTCCTGTGCTTCGTGGGTTTACTTCCTGCTTCCAAATTTCCAAATTGTGTGTGAATGGGTGTGAATAGGTGTGTATGTGTGCGATTGTGCCCTGTGATGGACTGGCACCCCTTCCAGGGTCTCCCCTGCCTTCTGCCCCAAGTCCCTGGGGTAGGCTTCAGGCTCCCCTGCGTCCCTGTGTAGGATAAACGAACGGAGAATGGCTGGATAGAATCTGTGGTAGTGGTAGTGAGCAGAAGCTTGAGAGTTCAAATCCCAACGAATGACAGAAAACCACCTCAACTGCTCAGCTATATGCATAGAATGAATTTTATAAAGCTGCAGTCATACTCACGTTTCAGTCCCATGTGTTTTCTGTTTGTGGTCACCATATCTGGAACCGAATTTCTGGCTTTGCAAAGTGACGTTTCATGGACACTTTCTTAAATGCAAAAACTCTGTCTCTTCCAGGATCCTGATGCCAGTTATGATTTCAATGACAACGATCCTGATCCTTTCCCCAGATACGACTCCACCAATGAGAACAAGTGAGTGACTTACCGTCATAATTCTCAGCTCAGAGTAGGATTAGCATTTGGTAATCAAGAATTAGGGCAACAATACAAGGATCGCTGCTGCTGGATGCAATTCGACGTCATCAGGGCTGGGAAAATGACAGCTGTGTTTAAAGAAAAACTGTCTGTCTGCTTTAGAAAGGTCTCTCATCCACTCTTGTATAACAGGATTACATTCACATTTGCATTTATTTACTTATTTGGCGGACACTTCGATACAAGTGAGATACAGTAGAATACAATCACGCATCATGCTCAGATTTTTGTGACTGTATATTGGCTAGCGTTCTGTATATCGTGTTGTTTCATGACCAGATTCACTTGAAATCTGCGCTCATCAAGGCCCCCTAATGGTGCATGCCCAGTAGGCCCAGTAATAATCTGTCCCTGGTCATAGCAATTAATCAAAGTACAACAATATAACATTTTTTATTACAGTAATAGAAATAACTGCAAGGACACAGGTTTATATCAGAAGGTAAATAGAGATACACAGATATAAACACACATTGAAGCATCAGTGTATAAGTATAAATAAAATGAAGTTGCAATAGGAGCATACTATAATTTTCACTGACCCCGAAGCAAATTGACTGTTACTATGATAATTCTTTTAAATATGAGGTAATTCATTACAATGTGGCATCCAGTCTGTCGTATTTACACCATACAGACTTTTAAATGAGGGGATAATTGGGGTTGAAGCATCCACTTCAAACCCACCAACTACAATGATACTGACACCCTGAACATTTGGAACGAAACAGTGCCGTGCAATACAGTAGGGATGTAACTGATATGACCGGTATGAATTTTGATATGAATAAGGTGCGCACTATTCCCTCTGGTTGAGACTAGTGATGTGGGTGGCAACTGGGATCCCAGAGGACGCAACTAAAGAGCGTGAGGTTTTTACTTTCATGCGGGTGAGCGTTCAGATATGAAAGACAATCAAAGACCACATTCATTAACGTGAATGTGAGTCGATGCACAATGCATTTGCAGCATTCATTTATTCTTATTCATCCTTAGTAACTACCTGGTCTGGGTTGCGGTGGTTTAAATCAAGCTACTAGTTTGTTTATATTTTGGAAAATAAAACCAAATAAATTCGTTAGACAATATCAAAATAGGCACAAATGAAAATAGTAATAACGGGATTAAAAAAAACAGTCCCGCGCACATCTCTTGAGTGATGTAGATGAGGCTGAGAAGCTGTCAGAGGTGGAATTCATACATCATGCCGACAGTACAGCCATTTCTACATCTGGGGTTTTTCCAGTGATTCTAGGGGCGTAGTGGTAGGGTTCATGTTTAATTCATAAAAAGAAAAGAAAAACAACCTTTCTGATTTAGACCACACCCACTTCTGGTTTAAATTCGGATACAGATACAGTTACGAATATATGGAGCACTAAACAGATACAGATTCAAATACAGATAATAGAATTAAACCCTTACAATATAGTTAGGATACATCATTTGTACATTACCTCTCCTTGTGAATTATGGAATTAAAAAATGGGCACTAGATATTCCCTACTGGGTTGTCATTAAAAAAAAATAGCAGACCCCCACTGAAAAAAAAGATATGTAATTATAGATTAAATTGCTGTGGAAAGCAAAAGTAAACATTTGTTACATACAAGCATCAAATACTTGGAGAAGTTGTTTATGGACCCATTGGACAATGTGTTATTTCTGCGATGCAACTGTTTGAGCCCCCAAAATCATTCTGCAAGTGTGAAATGGCAAGTGTTGAGCTGTTTGGCAATTGGAGAATGACATAGGTGGTAGAAAAAAGGAAAACAATCATTATTCTCCCACACCAAAGCAGCGTCCAGCTCCCGCACAATACATTTGAGTGACTCATACTGTGGTAGGTATGTGGAGGTCTTGCGTGAACACACACACACATACACACACACACACAAACCTGTGAGAGCTCTGTTTTGTCTATAGACTTGAAGTACTTCACTGTAATTGGCTGTATTGTGCAGCATTTGTCAATAGTCCAATTATTCTTGAAAGAGAGTTCATATGAAAAAGGATTTCACCCATTAATAATTAACCAGATTCAGTTAGTATGTTTTTGCTAATTACATTCTTGAAATGGTTTAATGCTATCAAGAAGATATAAAAATCTAAAACAGTAAGTTTATATATATATATATATATATATATATATATATATATATATATATATATATATATATATATATATCACATTTCAGATTCTTACTGTGAAAATATATTTTTCAATGAATTCTGCTCTTCTGACCTATGAGTAAGGAATAAAACATGACAGGGCATGCTGTTTTAGGAAAATAATCAATGGCTAGGTGGTGTGATGCGTTAACACTTTGAAGTTGATTATTTTGCCATAACAGTATGCGTATTATTGCTCTCATACAACAGCAATTTTCCAACAATTACAGTTGTTTAATTGCTAAATGTCATGTTGCACTTTTTATCTGTTTATAGTTATGTGTAACATTGTGGAACATCCCAAGAAACAAAAAAAGCCCCACAGCCGGAAGACTTTCCTGAAGCAGAGAACTTACTGACTGTTACAAAGCACTGACACTGGAGACTCCTTCCATTAATGTTAAATAAACTTACATAAAGATCTACCATATCAATGATTATACATTTATATTTGTTAAATGACAAAGCATTTTTAATTCATTTATTAATAGGCTAGAATTATTATTAATTAGATTAATGTGGAGCATGTGCCATACAAGGCCCTGTGAATGAGCTGTAAATATAGACATTATCGAACACATTAATATAAACCTGTGATTTGCCTTGTAGTCAGAAATACTGTCAGAGCTGCTGTTATAGAAAATTAATCAATACCTTCTGACCAATCAGATTTGAGAATTCAGAGGCACTGTGGTATAAAGCAGAATACATGTGTGTAAATACAGAATAGTGTGTACAGCGGATTGGGAAAATTGCGAATTCTATATTTATAAATAAACGTATAAAATCTACCACGTTATATTAAGATATTTCTTTTGATTATTTTTCTTTAGACATGGAACAAGGTGTGCAGGCGAAATAGCAATGCAAGCAGACAACAAGAAATGTGGAGTCGGTGTGGCGTACAACTCAAAGGTCGGAGGTGAGAGATCAGATTCTTGTTATGTATTTAGAAAAAAGACCTTGTGTGCCAGAGGAAGATGTGTGTACAGTGTTTTAAACATCTCACTGAATAAATGAGTGCCCTAACCATTCTGATATAAGAGATGAAATACCATGTTGTTGTTGTTCCTCTTTTGGCTGCTCCCATTAGGGGTCACCACAGCAGATCATTGTATGTGTATTTGATTTGGCGCAGTTTTTATGCCGGATGCCCTTCTTGATACAACCCTCCCCAATTTTATCCAGGCTTGGGAGCGGCACTGGGTTCCCTGACCAGGAACCGAACCCAGGCTGCAGCATTGAGAGCGCTGTGGCCTAACCACTAGCCCTCCAAGGACACAAGAACTGAAATACCATAACATAAATTATATCAGATCTATAGGTTACTCTGTCACTTTTAGATTTTGAACTCATAAAGCCACTTTCACACCTATTAGTCCATTTCCCCAAGTCTGCATCTGAGTTGCGTTGATACTTTTAGTTCGTTTGCTATTTGGTTTCACACTAAACGCAATGAAACAAACCAAGAAAATATTTGGCACATAAATCTCTTTCATTCCTTGATCAGAAATATGGTGACAGAAAAAGGTAAACATAGAAAAATCAGAAAAAATCAACTAAGCATGGTGATTAGTCCACTGAATTATGTGCAGTGTGAAACCAAACCAAACAGCAAATGAACCAAAAGAATCAAGATTCATCTTTGGCAAATGGACTAATTTGATTAAAAATAGCTGTTAGCCTTTTCTGTACCAGTTTATACAAGCTATAGGTCCATTTGTGTCTCCAAACTATTATATTTGATATATTAAAAAGAACACATTATGCTAACAAACACAATTGAAAATTCCTGCAGACATTTAAAAAAAAAAATGGTTCCATCACGTTCCCATTGCTGACCTCTTTTTGATCCTCAGGAATCCGAATGTTGGATGGAATTGTGACAGATGCCATTGAGGCGAGTTCTATAGGGTTTAACCCTGACCACGTTGACATCTACAGTGCCAGCTGGGGGCCGAATGATGACGGGAAAACGGTAGAGGGGCCGGGTCGTCTGGCACAGAAAGCCTTCGAGTATGGCATCCAGAGGGTGAGAGAAAAAGACTGACACTCACCTGTAAATATTAGCATTACACCAACTCCCTGTGTAAAAATGAATTAGATAGGAACAAGGTTGAGATAGGAATAAGGTCGAAGGTTTAAGAAAGACTTCATCTGACTCCTCAGGGCCGTGGTGGAAAGGGCTCCATCTTTGTTTGGGCGTCAGGTAATGGTGGGCGTCAGGGTGATAACTGTGACTGTGACGGGTATACGGACAGCATCTTCACCATCTCCATCAGCAGTGCATCACAGCAGGGCCTCTCGCCCTGGTACGCTGAGAAATGTTCATCCACCCTCGCCACCGCCTACAGCAGTGGAGACTACACTGACCAGAGGATTGTGAGTCACTTAAACGCAAACACTCCGCATCCGGGACTCAGATTATGTATGGTCAGATTAGATTGATAGTACTCTTAGTCCGTGACCTTGTGAACCAGTATCAGGATGTATTTATTGATAGAGGGTTCAAAGCACTTCTGTAAGTTGCTCTGGATAAGATAAAGGCATCTGCCAAATGCTATAAAAGTAAATGTAAATGTAGAAACTAGATCACACTATCAGTCAGTCAAATTCCTCAATTTGCCTCAATTTGATCATTGACCCAAACCTCAGAAACCACCAGTAGCCCCAATTTAAGTTTCTTATTACAGACTGACATATAAGATATACAGTAACTAACCACTTATGTAGTGTTGTTGTTGGAAATACTACATTTACAATCTTCCTGGTTGGTGCTTTGTCCTGTGAATAATTAATGGATGGACATATATCTGCACGCCCTAAACCCGTTGTCTCATTTATTCTACTGCAGACTAGCGCTGACCTTCACAATGAATGCACAGAGACACACACAGGAACATCTGCTTCTGCTCCACTGGCAGCTGGGATATTCGCTCTGGCGTTAGAACAGAAGTATGTACAGATGTTCATAACAGCATTTACAGTATATACAGTACAATACTAAACACACATGCATTGACACCCTGCATTATTCCAAAGTATAACCTGTAACCTACTCTCTAGAGTGCTGGCAATTACTATAACAAGTAAGAAATAAACCATGATGGAGCATGCTGGTATAGGAAAATAATCAAGGATTGGGTGGTGTGATGATACCGTGAGCCAATACTACACCAAAGTTTATTATTTTTTTAATAACAGAACATGTTGAAATGTACTACTCTTCTTATACCACAGCAATTTGCCAATGCTAACAATATTTATTATAAAATATCACATCATATGGTTTTTTTTTTGTTTTTTTTTAATATGTTACTTTTAATATATGTCAATACGTTCCATGAACGTCCATGGAACAAGTTAGATCCTGATATTGCTTACGTTCTAACAGCTATAAACAGTCGTTCCCTCACAAACCTCTGTTTTTTCTTTTTCCTGAAGGTAATTAGAACAAACTAACAAAGATGCAGATTAACAAAGATGCATGTTACCAAGAAAATGCAAAGCTCTCCTTTCCGAAAACTATTACAAAGCACTGACGCTGGAGACTCCTTCCATAAATGCTAAATAAATGTCTCCTCACAGAAACATTCATCATATAAACAATAATGTTTTGTTTTTTTTAAATATTTTTTTTTATTATTTAATCATTTTTACAGGGCCCTCTGGTGGCTTGGGGGTCCTAAGTAACTGCTTATATCACTTATAACTAGAAATGGCCCTGCATAAATCATACAGGTACTCAATACATAGTCAAGCAAGCACAGTTAATGTGTCCTTTAAACGCTTTACTAACCTTAGGTTAGGGCTAGGGCTGCAATTTGGCAGGGTTATTAGGTTTTAAAAAATCTTTCTTTAATATTATGTGTGAATGATATAGCATAAACACAGTATGACTGCTCAGAGCTCAATCTGATGTGTATGTGTCTGAATGTCTCCAGTCCTGATCTAACATGGAGGGACCTGCAGCACTTGGTGGTGTGGACGTCCGAGTTCGACCCTCTAGCGAATAACCCTGGCTGGAAGAGGAACGGCGCCGGTCTCATGGTGAACAGCCGCTTCGGATTCGGCTTGCTCAACGCTAAAGCTCTGGTAGACCTGGCTGATCCCAAAGTGTGGAAGCATGTGCCTGAGAAGAAGCAATGCATCGTCAGAGATGACACCTTCCAGCCCAGGTACAGGATTTACATTCACAGGCAGTTTTTTTCTGCTGATGTGTGACAGTAAGATACAGTATAGTATTGCTATCTATAGGGTCTGTTACAATTTTATAGCATACAGTTTAATCCTAAAACATAAGAGACAATATTTATCACCATACCTACTATCACGGTACATACAGTAAGTAATATCACACATATATGTTAAATCCATTGATTTCCTCTCTGTTCCAGGCCTCTGAAGGCAGCAGGGGAGATCAGCGTTGAGATCCCCACTAAAGCATGCACTGGCCAGACAAACGCTATTGTCTCATTAGAGCATGTGCAGGTGGAGGCCAGCATTGAGTACACCAGGAGAGGAGACCTCCACATCACGCTCGCTTCTCCATCCGGTGAGATATACCCTCATACTTAGAACACACACTGGTGCTATGCATGTCCATGGCTCTAGTCCAGATCTGCTACATAGTATTGCAAGTGCAAAACACTGTGTTTGTCCACTCAGGTACTACTACAGTGCTCTTGGCTGAGAGGGAGAGGGACACTTCCTCTAACGGCTTCAGGAACTGGGCCTTCATGTCTGTGCACACCTGGGGAGAGAACCCTACCGGCACCTGGACCCTGAAGATCACTGACACGGTAAATAGCAAGACCTCCAGCTTTCTTAAGTGGGGTTTCCATCCACCTGTGAAATATGTGAATTATAAATTTTTTTCTTAGAAACAACCTGAACACTAAATTTTAAGTGTTTCTAGGCCCTTAATAACCATAGAACATTGTTAATAATCCTATGACACTGCCTTTTTTGTATGTACAGAATGTTTAAAGGTGTAATATGTATTTTTTTTAGTTGTTTCTAGACATATAATAATGATTTAATTTTAAAGATGTGTTCACAGTGATTCAGAATATTGCCATGCAGTTACTCTTGTTAGTGTCTTTTATTTAGACTTCTGTTTACTTTTTTCTGGCCCAGAAATTGTCTCCACTGATGCTCAGCTGGTCAAATATAACATATATGTATGTTTCCTGTGTCAGTATTTTCCATTTATACTCTTTCTTTCCAGTCAGGGCGGATGGAGAACGAGGGGCAGATCCTAAGCTGGAAGCTGATTCTGCACGGGACCTCTGAGAAGCCGGAGCACATGAAAAAGCCGAGAGTGTACACGTCCTACAACGCTGTGCAGAATGACCGCAGGGGAGTGGAACACATGGAGGACATGATGGAGGTAAGAGCAGTACAGTTCAGTACATACTTTCTGCTTGTATGCTAGCATTTCTTTTAGATTAAATGTGTGACACTGCATCTGTTCTATGTACTGATTGTTTAAAGGTGCAGTTTGTAATTTTGTAGTTGTTTCTAGACCTATACTAATCATATTATTTCAAAGATACCGTTGAAAAACTGGGATTTGCATAATTTCTGTGCAATGTATATTGCTACTTTCTTTGTTACAGGCTTCTGTTTATTGTCTATTTTTCTGGCCCAGAAATGAGCGCCATTCCAGCTGTAACAGAGCTTCTTAGCCTTGCCTCTTTTCCCTAAAAGGTGAAGAATGAGGCAAATGTAGTTCTAATAGAGAGGGTAAAATTTGTTGAGTGCACAAAGAAATTGCATTGCAACTGAAAAAAATTACAAACTGCTCCTTTAAATCCCTGCAATGTTTGAATGTGCCCCTTTCAGATATGATCTTTTGTTATTTGTTAAAATCAAATATTATATTGTATATTCATTATAGGAGGCCGCCATTTCTCCTAACAAACCTGAGAAGCCCCGGACACCAGCTAAAGTCACTTCCTATACTCCTGACTCGGCTTCTGGCCCAGAAGAAAAGCCTGCTTTGTCCCAGGCTTCGTCCTCCCCCAATTTAGCACTTCTCCGCCTCCTCCAGTCAGCTTTTAACAGGCAGACCCCTGCCATCTATCCTCACTCCATGGCTTCCCTCAGCCGAGCTGAAACCCGAGAGAGGATCCCTAAGCAGAAGTTGTTCGAAGCCATGGACTGGCTCAAACAGGACACAGTTCCTGAGAGCAACCTGTACAACGACTACAGCGACAACTTCTACAGAGCACAAGCCTATCGGCACAGAGACGACCGGCTGATGCAGGCTCTGTT